ACGCTAAAAACCGGGTTTCAATACCCGTGCTGGGCAGAGTACAGATAGCCCATTGTGTATCCTTGTGCTTAACTTCAAACAAACATATCTGCAAATTAACTTGCGATCTGCCTTCAGTAATCGTTACAAAATGTTCCTGCTTTTATCGAAATCGGAAGAAAAACAGAATTAAATTACGACACCTTACTAATTTAATTTATGTAAAAACCCATAATTAACTGGGTTTGTTTTTACTACAACTAACTGATTACTAGGCAGGACAGTGGAACCCTATTTTTGTACACATACATGCAACTATTTTATACATTATGTTATATTAATTTCTCTGTAGGCTGGCGATTCGTTCTACTTAACAAAAGTACACAGAGAAGAATTTTCAATATAAATATTGCTACCCAGCAGTAATAAACAGAAGACATTAAAAGGGCAGGAGCTCATTATAAGCAGAAGACATTAAAAGGGCGGGAGCTCATTGACAAAAAAGGACACTTTTTCGAGCATTGTAAGACAAGCGTTTTTTATTTCATTTTGGAGGGGGGAGGAAGGTATTAAAGTAGGAGGGTGCTTTTTGTACGGATAGGATAAAATCACAGAAGAAAACAAATTCTTAGTTATTCCTATTCAGTTGGTCTTATAAACATTTTTACGATCTGAAATTGAACAGTCAATTATTGCGTATTAGCACTTAATAGCATCTTTTTTTTTTCTTTAATTTCGCTATGAGGACCTGTAAGTTCCTGTGTCTAGTATATTTTGATGGTGAACTACTTTCTCTTTTCCTAATAACTCGAGGCAAACAAGGTGTGAATCAGATAAATCTTTTCGTAATTGTTGACAATTTTAATAACAGAGAAAAGAGGACACTTTTGGGCCATAAGGGCAGGAAGGCAGGGACTTTAGCCTGCCCAGCTAAACCCCGTGTGCACGTACTGCTACCCAGAGTTTCGGTTATTAAATAAATTGCTGTTTTAATCATTGTTATGTCCTATTTTTATATATATATTTCATGTGGCCTGGTGCGGAATTATATTTCTAGCATCCGGGGCTCGATCCACCGAGGTGAACAGAGTGGATAATTCCCCATTGTGGAAATTAGTGATGAAAAAAACAAGATATTTTATTGCTAGGTTTGAGTGTTGAAGTGTTCCTTCGCCCTCGTGTGTACTTAGTTTTGAACACAGAAATGATTTGTGGCTCATAAAAATATGAGACAAAAACACTGATTTAGAATGATATCTAGATCAGACTAAAGTATTCAACTGATATAACCCACAAGGATCCTGATTTTTACAGTGGGGTGGGTGGTTGTGACGAAAACACTGATTTAGATTGATATCTAGATCATCACTCACAACTCGAAGACTAATTGCGTTAGTAATCCATAATTTAATAGTGATAAACTAGATGGAAAGCAGCTAGTCAACACCGCCAACTCTTAGGCCAACGAATAGTGGGAGTGACCATCACATTATAACTCTCCCACAGCTCAAAAGGGCGAGCATATTCAGGGACGGGATTCGAGCTCGCGACCCTCAGATTGAGAACCGAATGCGCTAACCACCAGTCCATCCTAGCCAGTCATGAAAAACGTGTCTATCAAGTCAGTCAGCACGTGTTCATGCAGTTGGTGGTGCCATCTATTCTTAAAGTAGGAAATGTTTTTTGTTTTTTTTCATCTCTGTTTGTAATTATGTTCTCGGCTGAGATGTTAATATGCTTCTTATCACTCCAAAAATAAATAAATGTTTCAAAAAAGCGTTTGTTTTACTTTGAACATGGCAGTGATAGTCCCACAGAAATTCCGAACTTTTGTTGTTGTTGTTTCAGTTTTTCTCGAAAAGCTGCACTTAGCAGTGCTTAATTTGGAAATGATAGACTAGTAGGAAGAAAGTACACATCGATAATTGATAGATTTATTATTGTGTAATCGAACAGTGAGATTTGGTCGTTACTCTTATAGCACACCCATGGTTCCAAAGTGCGGCAAAGGGGCACGAACCACGAATCTCTGGATTCAAGGTGACTATTTGGTCACGCCCCGAACGGAAGAAATGAACTAAACTATCGCTCTATACTTTGTAATATTTACATGACATAAATTAGGCCTAGATTCTTTTAATTTATTATCAATACAACGTGCTTATCAAAATCAAATAATTGTAATAACGGTGAACCAGATATTGTTTTTTGTCAAAGAAATCGTAGTGTAATGCAAGGTATAAATATTTTCCAAGAAGTTATAATATGCTCATGCGTTGTGTCATTACTGTGTATTAGCTGTTAATGCTTTCCTTAGAAAACTCTTTTTAATGTTAGCGTGCGTGATTCTTGAAACCAGTCCGTATTAAGCTGACTGTGAGTTATAAGAACGACAGTCATCCCTTAGCTTCGATGTAGGGTGCTGGTGACTGGCTTTGATTCCCTCTGGTTAGTATTTCAAAAATAGGGACAATGGAAAATAGCATTAATAGCTTTGCCATAAATACAAAAACAAATTCAATCAAACGACAGAATGGCGTAGTTAGTTCTTTGTTTTCGCCGCAGATGGTCGCCACTTGCTTTGACCACTCACTACCTCCCTCCCCCCCCCCCGACCTCGAAGATGTGTATTACAAGAACGGATGTGAAATATCCCTTTTTTAGAGTAATTATATAATTATAATTGGCTTCAGTATGGTAACTAAAGTGCGTTTGTGTTTTTTTGTTTCTCAAATCAAGTTCAACAAGATGTCCTCTTTTGAATCTAAATTGAGCAGGTTTTTAATTAAAATTGAACTAAATTTTCACGTGTGACTAAAACTGTGTTGTATCTTTATTCCATCTCAAGCTCAATAAACCTTTTCTTCTTTGACTAAAATTTGAACTACAGAAGGAAAATTTGTTTAGATTGAGATGGAATAAACACTGGCCAATTTTAGTACAGAAGGAAAATTTGTTTAGATTGAGATGGAATAAACACTGGCCAATTTTAGGTACAGAAGGAAAATTTGTTTAGATTGAGATGGAATAAACACTGGTCAATTTTAGGTACAGAAGGAAAATTTGTTTAGATTGAGATGGAATAAACACTGGCCAATTTTAGGTACAGAAGGAAAATTTGTTTAGATTGAGATGGAATAAACACTCCTAAAATTGGCCAGTGTTTATTCCATCTCAATCTAAACAAATTTTCCTTCTGTACCTAAGATTGGCCAGTTTTTATTCCATCTCAATCTAAACAAATTTTCCTTCTGTACCTAAATTTGGCCAGTGTTTATTTCAGTTAAAACATAACAAACGTTTCCTTCTGTATTTAAAACTGAATAGAATGCTTAATCCATGTTAAAACTGAATAAAATGCTTAATCCATCTCAAACTTAACAAATCCTTCCCTCTGTGATGGCGTGAACGCCTTTTATCAGCATGATTATAATTGTGTTTATCATAAGACATTATGTTAGGCCCATTATATTTCATAATATTATACAATAGGCCTAACTTAATGTCTTATGATAAATATAATTATTTATAGTCATGCTTCGCTACCTGGTAACATTTGCGTTCACACCATTACAATTGTTGTTGTAACAAGCGGAATATTCTAAGTAGTGTTCCATACAAAGTTCATAGTGTCCCAGCCGGCCTAAAGAGTTTTGAATTGAGCGAAGCACGAATGTAGTGTGATTGAAATATTATTATTACACACTCTTGTAATTATTGAAATATATTGTTTGTTTGTTTTGAATTTCGCGCAAAGCTACACGAGGGATATCTGCGCTAGCCGTCCCTAACTTAGCAGTGTAAGACTAGAAGGAAAGCAGCTAGTCATCACCACCCACCGCCGACTCTTGGGTTACTCTTTTACCATCGAATAGTGGGACTGACCGTCACATTATAACTGTGAATTTGAAGATCTACTGTTTCTGTCCCGTTGTTGGAAAAACCACTTTCTGCACTTTAGGACTGTAGGTGTATTATAATAGTGACGGTCAATCTATCAAGCAAAGGGTAACCCAAGAGTTGGCGGTAGATGCTGTTGACTAGATGTCTTCTTTATAGTCCATCAGTTCAAAATTAGGGGTGGCTAGCCCAGATAGCCTTTGTGTAACTTTGTGCGAAAATCCAAAATCAATCAATCTTTATGTGGCACGCAATATTAAAAATTCTAATACTGTTATTTTTTCCTATAAATGAGGCTTTAACTGAGATGAGTTAACATGCGTAATGGTCTTCAATATGATATGAAGAAAAATTATCTCTGCTTCTAAACAGAGCCTTGCGAAGAAAACCGTTGGTTGTCGAAACTTCAGTCAGATGTTTATATTTTTTATACGTGCTTTTACCCTTTGTTGAATTAAAATACGTTTAATGGGCTTACATTTTCGCTGTTTGTGCCTTTATTCACTAAATTAATTATTCATTCTAATCAATGCTTTGTTTAACTCAAACAGTTAGTTAAGTAAGCATGGCCTCGTGGTTAGCGTGTCAAATTACAGATCGAAGAATCCGGGGTTTGAGACATGATGCGACTGAATATGTTTGCACTTTCAGCTTTAAAATTAGGGACGGCTATATCTGAATCGTAGGGGATCTCCGACCTGGTCGTTCCGCTTCACTTCTAAGAAACGAAACGTCAGTCAAAGAAATTCCCAACTGAAGGAAGTGACTTTTCGTTATGACAAGCTTGTAATCTTTTTTTTTCGGAGCCTCGCTGGGCCTGGCGGTTAGGACGCTAAATTCAAATTTCTGATATGGCGAGAAAATGTTATTTTGAAAAATGAAACAAACATATTTTTTTATTTTTGAAATGTAATTTTTTTTACATGTAGAGCTATTACTTGACTTTTAAACAATTAAACATTTTAGCATTGATTAATTATTTTGATACAAAATGCGACTCGTATTGAATTCATTCTAAAACAGTTTATTCAAGTTGTCAAAGCATTTTGTGTTAATTATTCTATATGTGTTGAACAACAGAAAATAATGCGTGTTTAGAATTAAGCAAATCTGCAAACAAGTATCTAACTTTGATTCTAATGATGACTCGTTTTGAGACATCAGGAAAACTGGGCTGTTCGAGAATAAATTACAAGAGTGATATCCTGGTATTCCTCTCACGTATAGACACTAATATATTATATGTAAAGTATATTTTTGTTTACCAACCATAACATTTTCTAAAGCAGTACTGATAAAGCCACATATTTTATATACAAAACGTATTTTAATGTGGTCTTTTTAGTTATTTGAAGCAGTCCTGTTCGGTCTTCTTCAGTCCGGCTACGTCAATACCACGACTTTCAAGATCGTTTTTAATTCGAGTCAAAATATCGCCATCTAGTGTCGGTTTTCGAGAAAGTATCCACAGGATTTCTAAAAGAAAACGAAATTACAAAATAAATTAGTGACAGAGAATAAAACATCACATTACGAAATATGTTGTTTTTTCAGAATGTTGCTGAATAACTACGTCATTCGTTTTTACTGGTGATTTTGTTTGTTTGTTTGTAGTTAAGCGTAAAGCTACACAATCTGCCCACCACGAATATCGAAACCCGCTTTCTAGAGTTGTAAATCCGTAGACGTACCGCCGTGCCACTGGAGGGCTTTATGGTTGAATATCATGATAACTGATAATTTTGTGACCAAGCAATCAGTTATTTACAAACAAACCCAACTTAAGAGTCTAAAACTCAATTCAAAATATATAGGTTTGTAACAGTCTAAAATAAACACGCCGCTACAATCAGGATTCAACAACAAAATTATAATTTATTCCCAATAACGACACTTAGAAATTAATTCAACTCAATAAATTCAAATAAACAAATGCCTGGCCAGGAGCTCACACCAGTATTAATAAATAATTTATCATAAATAATAATAAATCAAGAATCATTAAACCAGGAAAAAGAGCCAGAAAGAAAACAAACCTAATTCCAAAGAAATATAGCAATTACAATATTCAGACAATAACTTTCAATATCAATAACAATATCGAGTAATAACTATACCCTTCAATAACTATCCCGTGACTCTCTCTTAGTGAAGGCAGGGTATTTATTCACTGAGTAGGTCACGAGAGTACATCTTCATGTGATCATAAATTTACATACTCTTCTGCTACATTAATATTATCTGTACGTCACCGCTAGGGAAGCAGGTGTCAGTTTTATCATACACACATGTGTATTTACTAAAAATACAAAATAGAAGGTGAATTAGCGTTTTAATGCAACAAAAAAGTCAAAGATAAACTAATCGATAGAAGGAAATAATGAATTACCGATCAACACAACCATAATTATAAAAAAATAGCCTTTGCTAGAGTGATTAAGTGCTGTCTGTCAAAAATGCACATTTTACCTCTAATTGGAAAGTATTAATACTTCTAACAGAAAATGTAAAGTTAAAAAAAGTTTGTGAACGGATTTTTTTTCTAAGTCATATCGACACTTATCCTGCACTGAGAATACCCGTATTATATATATATGTATTACAAATTAGGTATGTCTTTGAATTTAAAAAACACCTCAGGATTTTGTCTTATTAGTAATTCATATTGATTCCAGGTTATTTTAAATACAAGACAACTTAATTTAATTACTGTTACTTTAGTGTCATAGCTTAACGTTAGGCAAAACTCACCAAAATGGAACATATTTCGGGGAACGTCGTTGCAAGATATCACCAGCGAATACTGTTTGTAATCGGTGTCTAGCACCCAGTACTTAGACTTTATATTAACTGAAAAAAGTACAGAAATGTTAAGAGAAGAATCAAAATTACTTAATTCGACTTGTCATTTCTTTCTTTACAAAAATCTGTTCAGTGGTGTAGTTTTGAAACACATACATTTACATTCTTTCAATCCTTGCAGTTCTCCAGTTATTGCAAGCTGATACATTTTTACGGTACAGTTTCAGTTACTTTAGGTAGTCTTAAAAGTTCGGAAATAAACCTTGGTATGATTTCATGTAGTTCTTCAAAGTTCGGAAAACAAAAGTCAGTAAATGTCTTTTGGTACCTGTTTACAGTTCGTCTAAAAAAATCAGTGAATGACTTTTGATAGCTGTTTACAGTTTGTCTAAAAAATCAGTGAATAACTTTTGATAGCTGTTTACAGTTTGTCTAAAAAATCAGTGAATAACTTTTGATAGCTGTTTACAGTTTGTCTAAAAAATCAGTGAATGACTTTTGATAGCTGTTTACAGTTCGTCTAAAAAATCAGTAGAATTGTACTTTGATGTACTTAGTTACGAGTTCGTAACGTAAAAATGAGTAGTAATTCGTTACGTTTAGTACTAGTCTTAGGTTTAACGTAAGTTCCGG